TTAAGAAATCACTAATGCTTATCTACAAATAAATATGATTGAGTATGTTCTGTGGATTATCAAATTAGATTTGTAATAGTTTGCTAGTTCATGAGATGGAGAATTTCAAATATTTAGGGACCAGTCCCAACAAAGCAGAGTAAAGGCAAAATCTACCAAATACAATTGTTTAAAGTGACCACTTGCTCTGAAACAGTTTTCAGTTTTGCCCGGGAATGAAGTAGTTTTTTGTTTTGTTTTTTTTTTTGGGGGGGGGGTTTATTCTTATGTTAATCCCCATACATTACATCATTAGTTTTAGATGAAGTGTTCCATGATTCATTGTTTGTGCATAACACCCAGTGCTCCATGCAGAATGTGCCCTCCTCAATACCCACCACCAGGCTAACCCATCCTCCCACTCCCCTCCCCTCTAGAACCCTCAGTTTGTTTTTCAGAGTCCATCGTCTCTCATGGTTCGTCTACCCCTCCGATTTCCCCCGCTTCGGGAATGAAGTAGTTTTGTGGGATTAGTACCAGAGCATGTTCTAGGGTATTTGGACACCTGCTATGAGGCACCTTCCATCTGTAAATGGCAGAGCTAGGCGACTGAAGTCTGAGGTTGGTGGAGACATCAGTGATGAAGGCCAGGGGAATGCAAATCACTCCCAGCGTGAGTGTTTGGAACTCAGGGCGCGCTGTATAAGGAAGCTGAGCTTCCTGAAGAACTCACCCCCAAACTTCATGGAATCATCTAGGGCTTCTTCAACAGAAACCTGGTGACTGGAAACCTTTATAACAATGCTAAAACAGTTAACAGATAACCTTTTCTTCCAGGAATGAGAAAGTGTGTGGTTGTGCACAAGTCAATGAGGGTGGAAAGAGCTGTTTCATAGTCTTGCAAACAAGACCAGCATTGTCAAAAGCTTGCTGTTTCCACCACCATTCCCTTATTCCCCTCTGCCCTCAAAAGATTTTTAAAGTGGTCAGGGCCATGATGTTGCCCAGTTTTGCTACCAACTTTTCTTTTTCTTGATCTTTTGTTTCAATGTCTGCTTTCTTTCCCCTATGTGCTCACTGAAGCCTGATTGTGGGGTCAAGCTATAATTAGTTTATATATGAATTTTAATTCACTGTGGCTCTTTTGGCATTAGACTCAAATGGGCTTTGATGTCTGGCTGGAGCTTTGATCCCAAACCCTCGAATGGTGGTCATCACCCCAACTCAAAGGATTGCCCTTTATTTTTTTCCCTCCTATTTGGAGACAGCTTTTCCCAATTACATCATTTGTGTTTGTTTGGCCATAAAAGCTGCAAGGCATCATTTTGTTGCTTTTCTCTATAGCAAAACTTGCAACTGATGCTCCTTACTTTGCCTGGCTGCAGTAGAATGTTCACTGCTGGATGAGGTATTGTAGACTGGTACTCAGACTTTAGTGGGGGTGCTGGTGGGAGCTATTCTGCCCAAGGGCAAGGGGTCAGACTGTGTGATCTGAGGGACCCTTCTCGGATCTGCCCAGGAAATGCTCTGAAGCATAAGCTACCCAACTACGATATATTCAGTCAAGACTTTTTTTCATGTTAGCAACTTTATCTTACTCTCCAGATTCTCCAGGCAGCAGATCCACTCCATCTTTAGTGCCACCACTTTCTGAGTGTGGATTAACAGCTTTTCTGCGAAACCGAAACAGAGGCTTCAGTGAGGGGGTGGAAGCAGAAGAATTACCTAGGGCTGAACTAATACTGGAAAGGAGATAACAAAGTAGCATCAGCGGAGGAAGAAGCACCAGCACCTGCTTTAAAAAGTAGAGAAAGAAAAATCAAAACAGTAGGGGGAAGTGAGATCCTGTTGGCAACAGAAGGGAGCAATGAGCGGTGGGTGATTACCTTCAACTGCCTCCGGAATACCTGCAACCAAAACAAAGAATCAAAGGGGGAAAGGAAAGCCAGGACTTGATGGGAGAGGAGAAAATTTGGCTGTTGAGTAAAGAAGAGAAGAGGGGCAACCCAACTAGTTACACTTAATCTGACGACATTGGGAGTTTTCCTGAAAAAAACAAACAAAAAACCCCACAATTACAGCATTGAGCTCCTTGCTTCTAATTTCACTTGACAGCCCGAGTTTGTTTTAATTGGCATGTGAATGAACAGCATTATTTATTAATGGGTAATGGATATTTTGGAAAGCATAACCTTTTTTTCCTATTTGTGACCATTTTGCTGGTGGAACCATTTGAATACATTAATTTTAATATTTAAACTTGCTGGGAACACTTTCTCATGGAGATGTACAAGCTGTTATGGCAAATGGTTTGCTTTGGACTAATGAGCCAGCTCCAAGTGGCATTTGGTGGGGAGGGGAGGGGAGATGAGGTGGGGGAGAGACTTGGAGACATAGTGATTTGTCTGTCCACTTTAACAAGATTTATTAGTAGTGTGTAAAACATGTTTCAGCTTTTCTCCCCCCCTCAACTCTATAAATATAGTTGTAGATGTGTGACATAACCCAGGCCACAATAATAGACTCCACCAAGCCAGAAGCAATCTAATTCGGAGCTAGAAAGCAAGAGGCTTGCTTAGAAATTAATAGAATGAGACAATGATAGAGGACATGGGTGAGTGGCCTTTACTATGTGGGATCTGTCATTATTCTTCAGTACCTTCAGTGCTTTACTATAGTTATGGGGGAAAATTAATTCCTGTGTTACTAAGTGAATTGTTTGGCACACAGTAAGCATAAAGAAGAGGTGACCCGAATAGAATTGATTTTGTATGCTGATGAACACTTGAACATAATTCTGTTTTTAGATGTAATACACAATCTTGTTGATCATGAATCATGATTGTTGTTAGAGTTTGTTTTATGTCTGTGAGGGACAGCAATGGGGAGGTCAATGGAGTGTGGCAAGGGAATTTGGTTTTTGTTGTTTTTGTTTTAGTAAATGCTGAGTTGATTCTACTTGTTGCAGAGATTAAATGGGTACTATTATTTAGTTAGAAAGTATGTTAATGTAAAAACAATTTACAACCAACCTACATTTTCTTGAGTCTCTAGAGATCATCAGTTGAATGCTTGCAAGGCACTGTTTTGAGTACAGTATATACTAAAGAGGGTATTAAAACAGTCTCTGCCTTCAAGGAACGTTTATAAGGTAATTGGAGAGAAGAAATACACATAAACACCTACATACATAGATACGTGTGTACACACCCAGATAAATAACCAAACAAATAGCATTTGGTAAGAATCAGATATTCATACAGTTATCTGGAGTTCAGAGGAGGGAAGTGAACTGATCTTGGAGGAAAGGCTAAACCACACAGGGTAGAAAGGGCAGCCAGGCAAAGGTGTAAGAGTCTGATATAATGATCAAGGATGCATTCCTTCACACAACACTTTGCCTGAACTTTAGCAGATTGTGACTTGTTGGATTTAATTTCTGAGGCTCTTTGATGTATTGATTTTTAAAACAGATCTGGTGCTTTTCCACAGACAAGCCAGCTAGTGGCGCTTCCAAACCTCTATCCCACCAAGACTCCCTGTGACCAGTGTCCCAAGCAGAGGTGACCATGCTACAAATGGCACTTCGGGGGGAAAGTTTATAGGTCCCTCTAGAAGAAAACAAAAAGCCACAACTCCTATAATCCTGACCATCTATATGCCTGCCACTTTGTAAACGCTCACCCTCGCCCCGCCATATTATATACCGTATATTACTATAATTCTTACAACGGGCATAGTCTGCTAGTGGCTCCATTTTACCGTTGGGGAAAGAGAGGCATAGAGAAGCGAAGTAACTTGTTTGCACAGCTAGTCAAAGCTGGAACAGAATTCACATTCAGACAGTCTGGTTTCAGAGTCAGAGCTCTTCAAGATAGCAAATAACAACAATAAAAAACTCAAACAAAAACGCGCGCGCCAGCATTAAACCCCGGGCTGGTAAAAGAATTGATGCAACCGTTTGCTTGCTTTACAGCGACATTCCTCTCGCCTAATTTTATATGCCTTCAATACATACATACATACATACACACAACAGCCACAGAACTAAGAGTGAGACAGTTTTAGAGCAACATTGCACTGTGCTTTGGTATCGCTTGCCTCCACAAAGCGGAGTCAAAGAAACCAAACCCACAGAAATTGTCTTGGCATACACGCTGAGTACCTTGCTCGGCAAGGTGAAAGAAACCTAAATCGGTGTGAGGGGATGTGAACAGTGGACGTGGGGGAAAGGGTTAAGATCGTGTGCTGCAACTCGGTCGAGTTTCAGAAAGTTCTCTGGGGAGCCCAACTGCTGCGTCCCTTCGCGACCCTGCCTGCGAGGCCGACTGTAACAGGATGCTGGGACTCGAGGCGCTCGCCCCTTGCTTTGTGCGAGGCAAAAGAACCAATAAGGAGCGAGGCAAAAATTGGGTGCAGTAAACCCGAAAAGGGGGCCAGGAGGCCCGCGGGAAGAGCGGGGGAGGAGAGAGGGAGGAGCGGGGAGGGCCGAGCGCGGAGGAGGCCGGCGCTGAGCGCCAGCGGCGCCCCTGACAGAAAAGGGGGAAGCCTGGGGGAGCGGGCCTCGGCGCGGAGGGGCCGGCGCGGGGAGGCGGGCGCCAGGCGGGGG